TTTGGAGGACCTTTTTTTCATCAAACAATCGGCATTCTGATGGGAACCATCTGTTTTCCTTGTTTCATATGAGGCAGAATTCATAAATCAGCTTCTAAAAAAAGTTAAAGAAAGCAAGCATTATCCTTTAACTTCATGTTCCGCTATATAGATGATGTCATCTCACCAAATAATTCAAAGTTTGGTGACTATCTGTTGAACGCAACAACCCCATCGAACTTTATTTAAAGGATACAACAGATTCAGTTAAGTCTGTCTCATATCTTGACTTACATATAGAAATTGGCAACGAGGGTAGGTTGAGAACACAACTTTTTGACAATTGAGATGACTTCAGCGTCCCAATTTAGAACGTTACATTTCTTTGTAGCAACATTCCAGCAGCGCCTGCGTTTGGAGTTTAAATTCCCCAGTCGATACGATATTTCATAGCTTGCATTTTCTATCACGATTTCCTTGATAGCAGATTGCTGCTTACAAATCACAGAAATAGACTTATCGCAGAGTTTGTACTTACATGAACAACACGACTGGTGCCACCTGTGGAGATATATCTGCTTACGCATCCTGAGCACCTGGGATCACATCTGGTTTTGGTGGGATTCGTGTTGCTCAGTCTGTAGTGTTCTATGTTGTGTTTTGTAAATGTTTGTCTATTGGTCTTTTTTTATCCATGTCGTTGTCAGTTTGTCATCGACTTATGAGTTTAAATATCCATTTGGTATCTTTCGCCTCTCCTTTTCTATATGTAAGTTAGACGAGGTTAAAGTGTTCAAATCATTTTGTAATTATATGAAAATTTATAATATAATCGTACAGAAAAAGACTGGACCTCCATGACTTTATTCAGTTCACTTTTTGTTGGAGAATAATATGTTAGGCTATGATGGTTCAATGCTATTTGGTCTGTTTTTTTTTAAGACCTTGCCGACTAGTCAGTGGTGCAATTACTGTATGTCTGTGTGTCTATCAACATGTTTATGTCGTTATTATAAGTTAACGAAGCATCATCCGATATCAATAATGTTTGTAAGCAGTATTTATATCTATAAGAGGAATATCCTTGTCTATATTTCATTCTAAAATAAGGGAGGAACATTTTTGTGAAAAGTCATACTGTTTGCTTAAAAACAAATCACACAAATTTTCAGAAATACCTTTTTAGCTAGAATTTTGACGGATAAATGATTCCGTAGATTTAAATTTGGTTCATGTGAAAATCGGGGGAAAATATAGTAAACACTTAGTTTTTCCTTAAAATATATGTTATTGAGTTTATTAGATATCTTATTTAAGTTAAAGGATAACTTATTTAGTAAAAAAAGAGATCTTTTAAACTATAGAAGATATCTTACTTATTTTATTATTTTAAGGATATTATCTTATAAACTTAATAAGATATCTAATAAACAATATAAGTTATCCTATAAATCAATTGAGATATCTTATGAACTAAAAGAGATATCAAACTAAATAAGATATCGTATAAACTAATATTAATTGATTGTTTGGTTGGTGTTTAACGCCACTTTCAGTGCTAATGTGCTATTTCGTGGCGGTCAGTTTTTATAGGTGGAGGAAGCCAGAGTGCCCTGAGAGAACCAACGATCTTCGGTAGGAAAACTGACAATCTTAGTCAATTAAGATTGGAGCCAAGCGCACCTGCCATGTGCGGGATTTGTTCTCACAACCTCATTGTTGACAGGCTAGTGATACAGTAGTAGACTACTTAGACCCCTCGGTCACCCTTATAAACTTATAGATATATCTTTTAATCTAATAGAGCTATCTTATAAGCTTAATAAGATATTCTATATATTAAATAAGATAGTTTATAAACTAAATAAGATATATTAAAATCTAATTAAGATAACTGATGAAACCTTCATGTAAGATAGCTTGTACAGTTTATACGATATCTTATAAAGTTAATAATATATCTAATAAAAAAAATAAGACATCTTATATACTTTTAAAGATATCTTATAAACTATACAAGATATGTCATAAAGCATTTGTTTAAACGATATCTATAAAAAGCTATAAGATATCTTACAAACTAAATAAGATATCTTACAAACTAAATAAGATATCTTACAAACTATATAAGATATCTTATAAACTATATAAGATATCTTATAAACTATATATGATATCTTATAAACTATAAAAGATATCTTATACAGTTAATAAGATATCATATAAAGTATATATGTGAATTTAATGTAAAACAATTTAAACGAGAAAACTAAAGGTCTGATTTATGTAAAAAATAATAAGCGAAAAACAAATATGATATACAGCAACAAACGACAACCACTGAATTACAGGCTCCTGACTTTGGACAGGCACATACATGCAGAATGTGAAGTGGTTAAACATGTAAGAGGGCACGAAATCTTCCAATGTTTACCTTTAAATCATGCTATTACACCGTCATGATTTAAACAGGCCTTTGACGGTTTGTTGTTGTTCCATTTAGAACCTTTTTACTGTTGATAATATTCTAAGCTTGTAAAAAGTAAAATATCAAAAATATCGAACTCCAACGAAAATTCAAAACGGAAAGTCCCTTATCAAATTGCAAAATCAAAAGCTCAAACACATCAAACGATTGGCAAACAGCCATGACAACTGTCATATTCCTGACTTGGTACAGACATTTCCTTATGTGGAAAATGGTGGATTAAAACTGGTTTTATAGAGAGCTAAAACTTTCACTTGTATGACAGTCATTTAGAATTCCATTATACTGACAACAATATGTGAGCAAAACAAACAGACATAATAGGTAAAAATGTCAAAAATTGGGGTACAGCAGTCAACATTGTGTTATAATCAAAGCAATCACTTTTTTCAATATCTTAATTCTGAATCTCGACTTTACCGGCCAAATCACATACATGACAATCATGTATGATTTGCCCAACTCTTAAGATTTTCCAAATATTCACCTAACTCTAACATTTTATGTGGCAACATTTCAACAGCCCCCATTGCTGTTCCTATTTGGTGCCTTCCTCGAGCGAGGGTGTATTTTCCAGTTACCATAGTCTGTTTATATAGGTAATGCGCTATTTAACCGACGAAGTGTCAACTATCTGGTCACAAAACATATTAATGTCGTTATTATTTTTTCATAGATAAATTTAAGCTGGGAAAATCGGAAAATTTCGAAAAGTTAACAAAGCAATCGTTCTCAGGGTCCAGTTATCTCCTGAATCAGACGTTTAGGGACATTGACCCCCTTTCTTGCTTTTCATTTTTTGAGTGTGTTATATTTTTGTTATTCTTTAGTTATATACCCTATTTTTTCTGGCTCTTATCCAAAATCCTCTTAACATACAAACGTTGTAATTTATAAAAGTGTAGCAGAATCGACTGTCCCTATGAAAATGAGAGAAAAGAGAACCATATATTTATCAATTATGGACTTTTGACGAGGTCGAGGACGAAGTCCGAGGTTCAATATAATCTAACAGGTCCATATATAACGTATCATTGACCGAGTGAAAGTCCTTAATTTATATCATATTACATATGTCCAGTAAATAGTGTATTATGCGGGAAATGGACCTTAATGTTATTTCTTTGTATAATATTTCATATTGCATTTTGCAAGATTTTTATTATTGACCGTCAATATATATATATAAATAGAAACATAACTTTTTGCAAGATTTTTATTATTGACCGTCAATATATATATATAAATAGAAACATAGCGTTTTGCATGATTTTTGATATTGACTGTCAATATATATATATATATAAATAGAAACATAGAATCCATATACTTTATATCCCAAAGTTTACATCACGTGATCGTAATAACCTTCACGGCGTGAATTTGTCCTGCGTACATAACTTCTGTTATTGTAATATCGTATAGACAAGAGCAAGAGCACACTAAATAATAGAAAATAGAAAATAACTGATTGGAAATATTACAGAATACTTACTAAAAACAAATAAACACACAAATAGAGAAGAAAAAAAAAAGCAACGAAAAAAGGGGTTTTAATTTCATGCCCCAAGCGCTATATACAATACAATACAATATTTGTATTATCAATCAAGGACGCCCTAAGAGAGCAGTATAATTAGGGTGCGACTTTTTACCCCAATATACCCCAACATAATTTATTACAATGATTCATTATTAATTCTCAATGATATATATAGTCTTATATATATTGAACCCGTGATTGGTAACAGCTATGTCTGTTATAAATATAAGTTAGTAAAATAGTCCAAGGTATAAGGGGAGGACCATTTATTTGATATTCTGGGGCCGTGGGACAGGAGGTTAATCCCCCCCTCCGGACTATTCATATCCATCTGTTGTTATCTGTTATGTACATGTGCATGCTTATTTTTTCCGCCTTTACCAGGCCAGACTATTCATTTAAAACCCCGTCTTAAAAAAAATCAAACGGTCGTTCCCTAAGTACGAGTTTACAAGAAAAGTGATGACCTTTTCAAAATTGTTCGTCCTTTAGATTGAATTTACATGAAATATTTGCCATTGGACGTTTTCGGTTTAAAGGCAAACTTATAACATTCAATAAAATAGCCTACCAGCAGTACGTCATATTAAATTAAGTCAGGTCTAAATCGCTTTCGCATGATTTTTTCCAGATTGTTTTTTTTTACCCACCGCAATAACTATCCATTCCTTTTCTGCACAACCGATGATTCCAATCACGGTACATAGATCCAACGGATTTTAATTTTCGGTGTTAGTAATTTACGCCTTCTTCGGATATAAATATAAACAAAATAATTTTACTTCGAGTGGCGACCTATACAGCTATACGTCACAAGACAGCCTACACGAAATATTAGACATTCTTATTGATGTACAGGTTAAACAAATCTGAAATCAATAAACCTATATGATTCTATTATCACTTCAAAAACTATGGGAAACGTAAATGGAATCAGTATTTTGTGACGTCATGTGATGTATTATGAATATTCATAGCGCACCTGCCATTTTGAATAGAAAAGCAGAAAGGTTCGGAGTTCGGAATACAAACAGAGATGTCATCGTATTATTTAACATACTAACATGGATTAATTTCATTCTAACTCTTTACTAATATTTATTATAGCATGGGGATATTATAGGCGGCTGATAAACTATGCCGTCGGTGCTTTTTTGTTCTATTTTCCTCGTGGTGGCGGTTGGTCGAGGTTGTTGTTTTGGTGCCCCTCTAGAAAATCCGTTTCCTTTGGGAACGGTTGGTAAGTAATATGAATAATTTAACCCAAAACAACCCTTCATCTGCATGTGCAGTGTTGCATTAAATCATATCATTTCATTATCTGTGAAAATATAAGAAATATGTTTGTTTATTTTGATGAAAAAATTAACATAAAAATCTCAATTTTTAGCAGACGCCTAATGCCACTTCCGTTTCTTTTCAGCGATGATAAAAACAGTATTTTATAAGAAAAATAAGTCTTTAAGGTTTTGACATCATGTAATATTATCAACAAGATCAAGATACTCTAAACTCACAACAAATTTATTTGAAATGTCATAATGATAGTGTGTAAAAGAAAAAGGGGGAGTGGATGAATTAATATTTCTTTTGGGATAACTTAGTGACCAAAGCGACTTTTTTTTTAGCAGTCAAATCAGACAAATCACTCTGGATACATAATTCCAAAAGGAATGGGGTTTGGAGATAATAATTGTGACCATATGCTCACAAATAATGCATTAGCAACTTCATTTACCACAGAATCCCCTGTGTCCGCGTGGTGGGTGATATCGCACAGTACCTGATTTCGTCATATCCGCAATGTTTACATAAAATCTTGAGGTGGAACCATACGTAAAGAAGATTTCATGAAATTAAAGTATGTCATGGATTTGTTCACACAGTATTATTATGAGATTACCAAAGTGAAGCCAAAGGTCTTACATGTAGTGCGCAGATACACCGGACTGCACTGTAATGGACATATAATCTACATGTATAATCTTCTTGCTATTTGTCCACCATTATTTTTGACATTATAATAAAAAAATTCTTACACAACAATGGAACAGTGATTGTTGCATTATGTCAACAGTTTTAAGTGTCACAAATCTCTGGTCAAGTGTTGAGATTACGAAATATTGATAAGGTCTATTTTAGATATGTTCCTCTTGATATTTTTCAAACTTGTCCTACATACATATTCATACTTTTATTTTGTTATTTCTCTACCAGGAAGGGGAATTTTCAAGTACATAAATGCAAAACTCTTTATGCCAGGGTTTTTAATTTGTTGGTTTTGAGGTGAAAGACTTGGGTCAGTTGGTGAAAAGTAAAAAAATAATTACATGATACAATGTATAGAATTTCTGCATTTTTCAGCTTTAAATGTATTACAATAACTGTTCTCCTTTTATTTTCATTATTCCTTAAATTTAAGTGCTATACATTGCTTCGCTGCTGTTTTAAGCAAACAATGCATGTCATCCTCATATAAGTTCTTCAAAAGGGGGTTTTGTGCATTTACAACTGGGACAAAAAATTGATTAATGATCGTTTCACGATGAACAAAAGAACTAAAAAATAGCTATAAGTTGCTTTCTTTCAAATCTGAATAAACACAGTGAATAATGAGCTTCAAGCAAGAAAACATGAGAATAAAGATGGCAAATGTGCATAAAAATAAGTTCCCCACCCGTGATGTAGACCCGATGTGAAAGACGCCAATATTGGTTTATCCTTTTTGCCAGGTAACTCCACCTTTGATATCCAATATTTCTACAGCCTATGAAACAAAAAAAAATCCTAATTTTGTGGTTTAATATATCGTTACTTTTTACTTAACATCTTTCCTGTTCGGTCGGGTCCATTTCAATATGATGAAACATCTTATCCCAAAATGCTTCAAAATAAAATCTTACGGAATTAGGACAAAAAAGAAAAATGAACTTATTGTGAAAGGCTATTAACATTATTCATTTTTGTATATGTTTATGTTTAAATATGAATATGAATTTTATAGAATAGGCTGTATTAAAAAAAACCCCACTAATTTCAATTTTAATTGTTTTCTGAAAATCAGAAAAATTGGGTCAGCGGGTCCTTAAACCAACAAATTAAAAAACTCCGCCTTACTAGTTTGTATTAAAATAAGCTTTAGTTTTTATATGCCAGTTTACGGGACGTATTATGGTATACCGTTGTCTGTCTGTTTGTCTGTCCATCCCTCGTCAACATGTCGGACATGAACTCAAAAACGCTTCAACCAATTTGCATAAAACTTTGGTCAATTGTTTATATCTATTGACATGAGCTCCCTTTTGATTTTTATAAATTTTAGATTTTACGTTTCCGAGTTATGGAGTTTTATTCATTAAAAAAAAGGGGGATTTTCCAGTTTTCGGATAATAACTCAAAAATGCTTTCAGCAGTTGTCATGAAACTTTGGAGAATTGTTTATATCTATTGATGTAAGCTCCTTTTCAATTTTTATAAATTTTAGATTTTACATTTCCGAGTTATGGGATTTTATTCATAAAAAAAGGGGTGATTTTCCAGTTTTCGGACAATACCTTTAAAGTGCTTTGAGCAGTTTTCATTAAACTTTGGTGACTGGGTTATATCAATTAAGATAACCTCTCTTTAGTTTTTAACAAATTTCTGATATGACATTGAGAAGTTATTTAACTTTATTCTTGAAAAAAGGTGACAGGCGTATCATGCGCTCATGGCGCAGCTTTTTATTAGCTCACCTGACCTGAAAGGTCAAGTGAGCTTTTCTCATCACTTTGCGTCCGTCGTCCGTCGTCCGTCGTCCGTAAACTTTTACAAAAATCTTCTCCTCTGAAACTACTGGGCCAAATTTGACCAAACTTGGCCACAATCATCATTGGGGTATCTAGTTTAAAAAATGTGTCCGGTGACCCGGCCAACCAACCAAGATGGCCGCCATGGCTAAAAATAGAACATAGGGGTAAAATGTAGATTTTGGCTTATATCTCTGAAACCAAAGCATTTAGAGCAAATCTGACATGGGGTAAAATTGTTTATTAGGTCAAGATCTATCTGCCCTGAAATTTTCAGATGAATCGGACAACCTGTTGTTGGGTTGTTGCCCTGAATTGGTAATTTTAAGGAAATTTTGCCGTTTTTGGTTATCATCTTGAATATTATTATAGATAGAGATAAACTGTAAACAGCAATAATGTTCAGCAAAGTAAGATCTACAAATAAGTCAACTTGACCAAAATTGTCAGTTGACCCCATAAGGAGTTATTGCCCTTTATAGTCAATTTTTAACCATTTTTTGTAAATTTTTGTAATTTTTTACAAAAATCTTCTCCTCTGAAACTACTGAGACATATTTAACCAAACTTGTCCACAATCATCATTAGGGTATCTAGTTTAAAAAATGTGTCCGATGACCCCGCCCGTGAACCAAGATGGCCGACATGGCTAAAAAATAGTACATAGGGTAAAATGCAGTTTTTGGCTCATATCTCTGAAACCAAAGCATTTAGAGCAAATCTGATGAGTATAAAATTGTTCATTAGGTCAAGATCTATCTGCCCTGAAATTTTCTTACCAATCAGGCAACCCGCTGTTGGGTTGCTGCCCCTGAATTGGTAATTTTAAGGAAATTTTGCAGTTTTTGGTTATTATCTTGAATATTATTATAGATAGAGATAAACTGTAAACAGCAATAATGTTCAGCAAAGTAAGATCTACAAATAAGTCAACTTGACCAAAATTGTCAGTTGACCCCATAAGGAGTTATTGCCCTTTATAGTCAATTTTTAACCATTTTTTGTAAATTTTTGTAATTTTTTACAAAAATCTTCTCCTCTGAAACTACTAAGACATATTTAACCAAACTTGTCCACAATCATCATTAGGGTATCTAGTTTAAAAAATGTGTCCGATGACCCCGCCCGCGAACCAAGATGGCCGACATGGCTAAAAAATAGTACATAGGGTAAAATGCAGTTTTTGGCTCATATCTCTGAAACCAAAGCATTTAGAGCAAATCTGACATGGGGGTAAAATTGTTCATTAGGTCAAGATCTATCTGCTCTGAAATTTTCAGACCAATCAGGCAACACATTGTTGGGTTGCTGCCCCTGAATTGGTAATTTTAAGATAATTTTGCAGCTTTTGGTTATTATCTTGAATATTATTATAGATAGAGATAAACTGTAAACAGCAATAATGTACAGCAAAGTTAGATCTACAAATAAGGCAACATGACCAAAATTGTCAATTGACCCCTTAAGGAGTTATTGCCCTTTATAGTCAATTTTTTACAATTTTCATAAATTTTGTAAATTTTTGTAAATTTTTACAAAGTATTTTCCACTGTATCTACCGGGCCAAGTTCATTATTGATAGAGATAATAGTAAGGAGCAAGAATGTTCAGTAAAGTAAGATCTACAAACACATCACCATCACCAAAACACAATTTTGTCATGAATCCATCTGTGTCCTTTGTTTAATATGCACATAGACCAAGGTGAGCGACACAGGCTCTTTAGAGCCTCTAGTTGTTCCTTGTTTTGTACATTAATCAGCCCGTTAGTTTTCTCATTTGAATTGTTTTACATTTGTCATTTTGGGGGCTTTTATATCTGACTATGGAGTATGGGTTTTGCTCATTGTTGAAGGCCATACAGTGACCTTTTAAGTTGTTAACTTCTATGTTATTTGTTCTCTGGTGGAGAGTTGTCTCATCGGCAACCATACCACATCTTCTTATTTTTATAATAACACTGAAACCAAACATTTTTTTTGCAGATTTATGATGTCAAGAATGCATGTTTTCTTTGCAAAGTCCAAATAAGTGTTAATTTTAATTCATTATTGTCCTTTTTGAATTGTCCTTTAAACTATCAAAACAAATTTTTCTATCAAGTGTAATTTTCTAAATAGTTCAGTTATTGAAATTTAATTTCTGAAAAATTCAGGATATGTTCTTTGAAAATCTTGATGTTTATTGAGCCAAAAGTTGTATGGGGTCTGAAGGAAAATTTATACTTATAAAAGCAATTTTGGGGTAAAACTTCATGAGAAATCACACCAAAAAGTGATTAAGTGAAACAATCATTTGCTGCTTTCATAAAATTTTGAAAAAAGTGTGGGGGTTGATTTTTTCAGTTTTATATTTCTTTATTTTTATTTAATATATTTACTGTTTGTTTTTGTCGAGACTGCGACTTCTGTCACAGAATAAGAAGTGGCAGAATATGACACACAGGGATAAT